ATGTGTGTGTGTGTGTGTGTGTCTGTCAGTGAGTGAGTGTATGTATGTCAGTGAGTGAGTGTCTGCCTGTGTGTGTGTGTCTGTCAGTGAGTGTGTGAGTGAGTGTTTGACTGTCAGTGTGTGTGTGTCTGTCAGTGAGAGTCTGCCTGTGTGAGTGTCTTTCAGTGAGTGAGTGTACATATGTCAATGAGTGTGTGTGTGTGTCTGTCTGTGTTTGTCAGTGAGTGAGTGTATGTCTGTCAATGAGTGAGTATATGTCTGTCAATGAGTGTGTGTGTGTCTGTCTGTCTGTCAGTGAGTGAGTGTATGTCTGTCAGTGAGTGTCTGTGTATGTGTCAGTGAGTGCGTGTATGTCTGTCAGTGAGTGTCTGTCTGTCAGTGAGTGTGTGTCTGTGTGTCTGTCAGTGAGTGTGTGTCTGCCAGTGCGTGTCTGTCAGTGAGTGAGTGTATGTATGTCAGTGAGTGAGTGTCTGCCTGTGTGTGTGTGTCTGTCAAGCAGTTTCAAGGGGTCTTCGGCAGTCTGAGAGGACAAAGAAAAAACGTAGATCTTGTAGCCCAGAGGAATATGCTGAATTAAGCTCTGATGAATATATGCCCCCGGTGTTTGAGCAAGACGGGTTTTCATCTCAAGCTGAAGAGTATGGGGCCTTTCCTGTCTTTATAGACAATGTGAAAATAGAAGCTTTAATCAAGGCAGTTCGTGATACCTTGGACCTTAGTGATAAGAGAGAGGAAGAACCAGCTTCTAGTAAGCATTTTGCTGCCCTGAAATGGCGCAATCCTACTTTCCCATTGCATGAGACCATTGAGGACCTCATTAAGCAAGAATGGAAGAAGGCTGAGAAAATAATTTCTATTCAGGGTCTTTTTTCTAAACTATACCCTTTTAAATCTACTGACAGTAGTCATTGGGACCTTGCCCCCAAAGTGGATGCAGCAATTGTCCGACTAGCCAAAAAGACCACACTTCCATTGGATGATGCAGGTACTTTAAGAGCTCCAATGGATAAATGTATGGACTCAAATTTGTCCAAAGCCTATATAGCCTCTGGCTCTGGGCTTCGTCCTGCTGTGGCCTTGACATCAGTCTCTAGGGCCTTAAGGCAGTGGATGGATGACCTCGAAGAGGACTTATCAAGTGGAGTCAGTAGATCCAGGCTGTTGGAATCCTTAAGGAAAGTTAAGCTGGCTATTGAATTTTCATCAGAAGCTTCTATAGATTTGGTAAAAACCATCTCCAGAAGCATGGTCCTTACAGTAGCATTAAGACGTGCTCTTCGGCTACATAATTGGGTGGCAGATAACTCTTCAAAAAATAGCCTGTGTTCCCTCCCCTTTCAAGGGGAGATGCTCTTTGGCAAATATCTGGACGAATGTATCAAGAGGCAGTAGAAGGACTTTCTTCCTCAAGATAGACGTCCTAAAAGATCCTTTCCGCAGGACAGACATTCCTTTTGGGACAAGGACTTTAGACAATACAGGCCTGGTAGAGAGTTTTCCAGATTCCAATCCTGGAAAGGTGGATTCTCTTCTTCCAAAACCTCCCGAGGATGAGGTGGCAATGCCAAGCCTTCAAAGCAATTCTGATGGGACGCCAGTCCAGCCCTTGGGAGTGGGAGCAAGACTTCTTCACTTCTACGAGGCCTGGGCTCTAGCAACACAGGACAAGTGGGTGTTAAAAACACAAAAAATTGGCTACTACCTGGAACTCTCGAAAATCCCTTATCCCCGGTTCATGTCTACAAGCATTCCTCTGGAAGCAGAAAAAGCAGTGGCCATTCTGTATTTTGTCTCTTCCCTTTCAGCAGAAGGAGTTATATGTCCTGTTCCTGCAAAAGAAAAAGGATTGGGGGTCTATTCCAGACTATTTCTGACTCCAAAGGCATCGGGGGAATGGAGACCGATTTTGGATCTTCACAAATTAAACGAAAATCTGTATGTGAGAAAATTCAAGATGGAATCAGTAAGCTCCATTATAAAAGTCATCTCCCCAGGCGACTGGTTAATCTCCATAGACCTTAGAGACGCTTACTTTCACGTTCCTATTGCTCCACCACACCTGAAGTTCCTGACATTTGAGATTCTCAAAGATCCTGGTTGCCTTAATAGCATATATCCGTCTGGAAGGCATCTCAATATTCCATTATCTCAACGATATCTTGATCCTCTCACACAGCAGAGATGTTCTCCTTCTTCATCGAGATCGGGTTCTTTTAATTCTTCAAAAGTTTGGATGGTTGATAAACCTCAAGAAGAGTCAACTTTCTCCCTCTCAAGTTATGATATACTTGGGGGCAAGATTAGACACGATTCAGTCACAAGTCTCCCTATCCTTGGACAGAGGGCTTCTTATCAAAGATTCTTCATCTTCTACCTCTGAACTAAATCCTGGCAAGGGAATTTATGAGCCTTCTGGGAAGTTTGTCCCCCACAAAAGGCCTTACGAGATGGGCCCAATGGCATATGAGGATTCTACAAGAAGGGTTTCTATCCCAGTTTGTGAACAAGGATCTGAACCATGCAATCTCTTTATCATCGGAGATCAAAACGGAGCTGGCATGGTGGCTGATAGACGAAAATCTATATCAAGGGTATCCTCTGAACAATATCCCTTGGGTCACTCTCACTACGGATGCTTGTCAATCAGGTTGGGGAGCTCATTTGGGCCTTCTTCATGTTCAGGGGCAGTGGAAAAACAAACAGTATCTTCTATCCTCAAATGTTTGAGAGTTGCAAGCAGTCTTCCAGGCTCTTCTGCACTTTCCTTGTCTGAAGCAAAGTTGGGTGAGAGTAAGGATAGACAATACTTCCGCAGTAGCAAACATCAATCATCAAGGGGGTGTGAAGAACAAACGCTTAATGAAAGTGTTGACCCCACTTATGTCCTGGTCAGAAAAGAATTTGAAGGGGATCAAGGCAGTTTACCTTCCGGGAAAGAACAACCAAGTGGCGGATTTCTTCAGCCGAGTCACACTGGATCCCACAGAATGGGCATTATCCCCTCAGGCATTCCGAAGCCCCAGGAGTGGGGCTTTCCTCAGGTAGATCTGATGGCCACAGTAAAGAATCGTAAAGTGGAAAGGTTCTTCTCGCGTTACTTCGACCCTTTGGCGGAAGACCAGGATGCTCTTTGTTGCGAGTGGAAGTAACAAAAAAAACACCTGGGGTATGTTTTTCCCCCAACTCCCCTGATGCAGGAGCAAGCGACTATTCTGGCAGTAATTCCCTTCTGGCCTAGGTGACCAGAAACTCTCTCACGACATTCCTCTGAAATTCCCAGACCAACACTGTCTTCTACAACAAGGTCCGAACTCTCACCCATCTCCCCAGTCTCTCAGTCTAAGGGCTTGGAAATTGAGAAGCAACGTCTCTCCAGCAAAGGCTTCTCTTCAGTAATTTGTACTCTTCTGAATGCCAGGAAGAAATCCACTTCATCAGCTTACTATCGTATTTGGGACATCTTCTGTAGCTGGTGTATGGCACATAAAATTTCTGCTTTTTTTCCCTGTGACGTCCTTCAATTTTTACAAGACGGATTAAATTTTTACCATAGGAATAAATAGATACCACTGTGTGAGGCAAGCAACCAGTAACTTGGTTAATAATCATTTAACCTCAGCATTTTCCCAAACCACAACCCCACTACTTTGGGGGTGGTTGGTCTCAGCTCCTTAAAAGTGCATATTTCAGCTCTCTGCTCTGTTAAATCGGAAATTGGCATTTGAGCCAGATATTGCTAGATTTCTTCAAGCTATTCTCAAGCCAAGCCCTCCTATAAGGTCTTGCTCTCCTCCTTGGGATTTACCTTGGGTTTTACAGACCTTATCTGATTCTCCATTTGAGCCTTTGGAGAGTGTTTCTATACTTACTCTTACATTGAAAACCATTCTGTTGGTTGCCCTTATCTCAGGTAGAAGAGTCTCTGAACTGAGCGCTCTCTCCTGTGAGTCTCCCTTTTTAAATCTCCAGGAAGACCGAGTGATCCTTTGTATGATTCCAGCTTTTAGACCCAAGGTGGTTTCTGCTTTTCATATGAATCAGGACATCATTTTACCAGCCTTTTTCCATCACCCCTCATCTGAAGAAGAAGAGAAATGGCATCGTTTGGATCTGGTGCGTTGTTTATCTACATACCTGAACCATACTTCTGATATAAGGAAAACGTCTAGGCTGTTCATTATTCCTTCGGGTTTCAAGAGGGGTTAGGCCGCTTCTTCGACTTATATCAGCTGATGGATAATCTCAGCCATTAGTCAGGCTTATACAGCTTCCGGAGTTCCTGTCCCTCAAGCTCACTCTACCAGATCTTTGGCTGCTTCTTGGGCAGCTGCAGCCAACATTTCCACGGATCACATTTGTTTGGCAGCAACATGGTCATCCTTCAACACGTTTATTCATCACTATCAGTTGGACATAGTTCGTTCATCTACCATGGAATTTGGTAAAAGTGTCCTCTCTGCTGCCTTATAGTTTATGGATCAATAAACCGTATTTGCATGGATTTATGCGTTATGATTATTATTCTCCCTCCCTTGTTCTTTTCAGCTTGGGTATAACCCATACGTAGTGCTGCCATGGATATATCCGGGGAAAATAGAAAATTTGTGCCATACTTACCAATATGTTCTTTTCCCGGATATATGCCATGGCAGCACTACGATCCCACCCTCTTCTTAAATCTATGTTATTTCGTGGCTTTAAACTAAGACTGGGGGGGAGTGGGGTATAGGAGGGAGTCTCTTTTATTTAGGAGGAGTTCCTGTCCAATTGAGAAGGGGAGGAACTATACCCATTCGTAGTGCTGCCATGGCATATATCCGGGAAAAGAAAATATCGGTAAGTATGGCACAAATATTCTGTTTTTAATCTGTGTCTTGCTAAGCTGCTTTTTCTTACCTGTGCTATTTGTAAAGGCCAGCAGGTGGCGCTGTGCACTAGCCTCTCTCACTGGTTAGCCTGGTGACCTCTCTACATCCCGGAAGCGAGTCGTTCATTGCAATATGGCGGCGCCCAGTGCAGGCATGGGCAGCTTTTAGCTGATGCACAGCTTTGCCTTCTCAAACCGCTGGAGTGAGAAAATGAAGCGCAAGGCAGGGAGCGGGCGGGGGCCCGAGCAGATGAAGAAGTTGAAGTTATCGGTGCAGCATTTCGTGGAGAAATCCCATGGCGGTGAGTCTGCTGGGGACACTGGGAGAGAGGAGACCCCGGGCGGCAGAGGCCAGACCAGGAAGGAGCTCAGGAAGGAGAGGCGCAGGTCTAAGAAGCTGAGGAAGAAACAGTACTATGAGCGCAGGCATCTCGGTACCCCTGGAGAACAAGCTGCATCTGTAGTGGGGAACCCCAAAGCCCCCCAGAATGTGGAACGCAAGAAAGCCCCCCAGAATGTGGAACCCCAGAACGCCCCCCAGAATGTGGAACCCAAGAAAGTTAAAGAGGTGAAGAAGCCCCCCAAGTCACCCAAGGATGGACCCAAAAAGAAGAAAGCAAGCAAGGAAGAAATGAGGAGGAATGCTCTGCTGGAGGCCAATAAGAAGGAGGAGAGTGAGATCAAGAGGCTGGAGAAGAGTCTGAGGATGAACAAGAGAAAAAATAAAAGCTCATTACCCCAGGCTTTCACACAAGACGGGTTGGATTATATTTTGGGGGTGCTAGAGCCTGGGGGCTCGGTTTCTGGGTTGTACCAGGAGGAGGATGAAGAGTTTAACACAACAGAAAAGGTCTACAAGCTGTCAGAGGATGTAGACGGCTCTGAGGGTGGTGATGATCAAAGTAATGAGGATAATCAAAGTGATGAGGATAACCAAAGTGATGAGGGTCTAGAGGAGGGAGGGAGTGCCGAGGAAGATGAGTATATGGACACTGAGTCAGGAGAAGAGTTAGAAGGTGACCTAAATCAGGAGTCAGAGGGTGAGGATGATGGCCAGGCGTCAGAAGCTGAAGGGTCTGACGAAGAAGACCTTGACAGAGCTTCAGGTTCAGATAGCGACCATGAGACCACGTCTGAAGTAATTAATAAGGTAAACAGAATTGGGATAACCGGACACTGTTTCCTTTTGAAAGTTAAATTGTGAGTGCCCAAGGGCAGCCCTCCATCTGTTGCTGCTCTACAAATCCAGACAATTCTAGATCCCTACTTAGCTGTGGCAGGAATACTGTAACAGGGTATAAATGGGTAAACATATATTTTGTGCATGTTTATGGCAAATTTGAATTTTAGTGTACTTCATTGTATTAATGCACAATTAGATTAATGCTTTAGCTTAAAGGGATACCAAAACAATGTTCACTGTTTAGTTCTATGCTATTTAGGAGTTAAATGAAAATTGTAGCTCCCCCATCCTCCTCCCACCAAATGACAATCACTTGAGGCACTTCTGTAAAATACCAGTGGAAAACTCAGCTATTTTAAGCAAATTGTCTGTGTGGCACAATGCACAATAGCATCCCAATGCTTCCATATAGGAAAGCATTGGATTGGCTGAAATCATAAACATTTATGATCTCAGCCAAAGCGGTAGAGTGGAGACTGGCTTGGCAAAGGAAAAAAGGTAAGTAAAATAACTTTTTTAACCGTGGTACTGCACCGGTCACCTAAAGTACTATAATATCAGGAATACATATTTGCTAAAGTGTGAACTGTCAAAAACTAAAATACAATTTAAAATTGTGTGCCAAAATGGTAACAAAAAATTAAAAACAGAGCTTATTTTTTCCAAATCAGCAATTTTGTCTGAAAATTTGTATTTCACTTTGAATTTCTGACAATTCACACATTAGTGTTAGAATTATGGCTTGACCGATGATCGTTTCCGTAGATTATTAGAGCTGATATTTTGTATATCTCTCATAATTAGTGTTCGCCTTGTAATTTACCAAACATACGCATCTCTAACATTCACCGCACAACTTTTTCTACATCTGAAATTCCAGCCAATGAGATGCCAACTTTGCAACCTCAATTCACCCATAACTGTAAGTCCTCCCACCTATGGAGTTCAGCAGGAGGCAGTGAATAATCTGCTGTACTGGGCTGGCTAACAGCAATCACACTCCTATCAGTAACAGCCCTGTGCATGCTGCTTGAGAGTGATAGGAGTAGGATTGCTGGCAGCATGTTCATTTAATGCCAGATTTTTATAGCGATTGTTTTATTTATTTTTTTTCTCGTAATTTTAGATGTATCAGCCAATCATTATTACTGTTTAGTTAGTGACAACAAAACCTGTTTACTTTTATTTAGATGAAGATGGTGTATTTCTTATCATACCGGTGAGACTCTGAGGCACCATAAACTGAGGATATAAAATGTTAAAATATAGCAACACAGTCACTATACATAACTAGTTACTCTGATGTTTATAACTGTGTATTTAGTACAGACCCCCACTACCTGCAGTTTATGCAGCTGTACAGAATGTCATTGCGTGGGTTCCAGGAGATCTACACTCTCTATATCTGTGTATAAGGATTCCACTTCCAGCACTTATTGAAGTAGCCCATGCTTGATTAACCACTTGACAATGTGTGTACTTTGCTGCTATTACGTTATTAGCGATGTGAATAATTTTTGTTTGGTTTCGGTCCAGTCTATAATTTTCGGTCCAGTTCAAATTAGTTTGAATGTCGATTTGGTTCAAACAAAAAATTACAAATTCTTCTTGTTATTTTAAAATTTTCTGCTTGAAACGTTAATCCCTATGGGGAGTGACTAAATTAAAAAGGTGATGACCACAACAATCCCCTAATAGGGAATATTTAAGCTGGAGTGTTAAGAAGTTGTCATTGAAGGAAATATTTTGAAAAGAGACAGAGGAAATCTGAAGATAACAAGCAATGTGTATATTTGAAATGGGAAATTGATCCAGTTACACCAATGGAAATAAATGATATCAAGTTAATTATTGACTGATATTAGTTTTTGGACTAAATTAATGAAAATTTTAATTTGCATTACTTTTTCAATTCTTCCAAATACTAACACTTATGTCTCAAATATATCAAACAGTCTATGTTTGCCAGCTATTTAGCCACTGTATTATGGTTTTTCATTGCTAAAAAATATTTTCATTTGTTCCCGAGTAAAATACTAAAATAGCTTTCTAGTTATGGATGGCAAATCATCATGGATCTGTTGATTCACTGTAAATTGAGGCAGTCTGTTATATAACCCTGATGCACAGATTATTCCATTAATCTAGTGTGTAGGTGTGTGTGTGTGTACACAAGTAGCAAAGCATCCTGGGACAACTATTTACAGATGCACAGGTAGCCTCTGTGCAGCCATCGATCTATGGATTCAGGCATGCAGTTATACATTTATTGTAGCACTATCTGCTAATTCATAACTTTCCTGACTTCCTTTTTCAGGGTGTGCAAGGATCAGGGAATAAGTACATCCCACCGCAGCTGAGAGATGCGTCTGATTCTATAGATGCCAAAAAGCGGGAAGAACTAGAGAGGCTTAAAAAAAGCGTGAAAGGTTTGATGAACAGGTATCGCAAGCCATCTATCCAAACACATAACTGTTCACAGAACAATCTGCGCACCATGTATTCCATTCTCTGTTCAGTGTCCCATCTCTTGGCACTAGTCCTAGAGTGCATCAAGTGCGTTATTCCTCATATTTTAATTGACAGACTGAAGCTCTGTGAACTTTAAATCACTCATCCTCATCTACTACAGCTAATTAATTTCAGTCCCTATTTTGTTCCCATTTGACTGGTCATCCTGTGATCTATTGAGTTTACACTTTGATAAAGAAGGTTCATATTTTTGTCATTTAACTGCACCATGTACTCTAGATTTCAAAATGATTATGCATGTTAATAAGTTGCTTTCTGTGAATTAACGTTCGTTGGTGACGGATTAGCTTCTGATTTTTTTTTATAGATATCTCTGAGGTTGCAGTCTGACAGTCACATTAAATCACTGAAACTGGTAGTGAGGTTGCCAATAATGTGAAGTTCTAGATATGGGGAAACAAGGAATAGGAATTTCAAAAAAAATTTGGATGAACCATTTGATCCTAAATGTTCGGATTGATTTTAATCCAGCCCTGTTAATTTCTTTTCAATTTTTATAAATTGTCGCCTAGACTTTGTTATTGGTAATTCTCAGCAATAGCTATAGTTTTTAGGGATTTACGGAAATCTCCGCGCTTGCTGGAGAACCTATTGTTGTCTTTCTCTGTGATAGGCTTCTAATAACAACTTGGACAAAAAATACCTCACGTGAGAAAGGTGCACTTAAAACACTCCTGCCATGATGGTGAACAGGGAACATTCCCATCTGTCATTCTGCAGAGCTAGCAGTTCAGTATTTTTGTGAGCTGTTTTCTTCTTCCTCTGCAGATCTAGATAGCCTAAATCTCCTCTGAAAAATGTTGTAAATTTGTGATGACCTGTCATTTGTTTTGTCCTCAGGCTTAGTGAACCCAACATGGCATCTATCAGCGGGCAGATGGGGGATCTGTACATGGCCAACAGCAGAAAAGACATGAATGAAACGCTAACAGATGTTGTAATGAATGCCTGTATCACTCCCGCCAGAATGCCTGACCGTCTAATGATGGAACATGTACTTCTCGTCAGCATACTGCATCACACAGTAGGGATCGAGGTAAGTACTGTCCACTCCTCTCTGATCCAGGAGGGAATCCACCACGTTTTTGGTCAGTGGGAGTCTTTGCCAGATAAGTGACAATCACTTTCCTTACATTGCACATATATATAGGTGCAATGTAAGGAAAGTGATTGTCACTTATCTATAAAATTTAAATGCACAACTTAAAAAGGGGTCCCTGGGATTTCCAATTTATTTTTAATGTTTAGATGATCTGATTTTCCTTTTGAGATGTGACTATGATCATGAATTCTATAGGTTTTTATTAATATTTATGCAGCTGTGTATTCTACATTTGCCATAATTTCTCATCTTACTAATAACAAAAGAGAAATATTAGGATACCCTATTACACATGTAACTATTAAAATATATCTGGCAGTTCATGGCAAAATCTAAACCTTTCTCGTGCATATCTCCCTTTTTAGATTTCTCTCTTTGCTGTCAAACATTTATACACACTTCTTCCTCTGTTATTTAGATCTAGTGATTGGTAATAACTGGATTGGAGGTGGTATGTAGCTGTCTGAGTTTTTCTATTCTGTTTTAGTGAAATTATAATCCACCTCTATGATAGACTGGGACCACCCACTAGGCATGGCAAGACCTCCACCAGGGAATGATATTTAATTTACACGTATGTTTTGTTTTGTTTTTTTGTTTTTTTTTGTGTGTGATTTATTTTTTATTTTATTTTTTGCTTTTCTGTTTGTTTGTTTTAAAGAAATGCTTGTGGTCCCAACATGCCATAGTTCTGAAACTAAAAGAAACAGCAGTTAGCTCAATTTATTATTGCAAATCCTAAAGATCTTTGGTTCTTTGTTCTTGATCATAACCATTTGATTCTAACCTTGTTTCTTCTTGAATGTCTGGATTGTTTGTCAGGTTGGTGCACATGTATTGGAATCTTTGGTTAAACAATTCCATGAATTGTATGGTAACGGCACGGAAAGCAAAGAGTGTGACAACTTGATCTCTTTCATTGGGCATCTCTACAACTTCCACGTGATTGATTCTGGACTGGTTTTTGATTTCCTGAAGAAATTTGTTGCAACATTTACAGAGAGAGATGTTGACCTGGTTCTGCTTTTGCTGAAGAATGTTGGCTTTTCATTAAGAAAAGACGATGCAATGGCCTTAAAGGAACTGATCGGTGAGGCACAGATAAAAGCAAACGATGCGAGCAGAAAGTTTCAGGATCAGACCAGAGTAAGAGATGTTTTTTTCTATCAGTGATTTAACCTGTACATTTAATGTACTTTTCATTTCGTCTCTGGGGCACTACACAAATAATCTACAACAGAGTAAAAATAATTATACAATTCCAAATGCCGAGTGGGGACAAGTGTGTAGTAACTCCTTTGGATTTAGGGTGTTAAAATGATGGGTACATTGGTAAGTTGGATATAAAGCAGATGGACGCATCAAAATGTGTATTTCTCGCTTTGAAGTCATTAAGACATAACATGCAGGAATGACTAAATGCTCACTTTTGGGTTTCAGACTAAAACTGTAACACAAAAAGTTGATCACTTGAAAATCTTTTCAATTTGAAATAGTTTCTCTTACATAAATGTGTATATATATATATTTTTTTTTTTTTTTTATGCGCAAGGAAAACTTTTAACTATATTGGAGGACACAACAATATTTCAGCTTTGAATCCTTGCAGCTAATTTCATCTCTTTACCTAGTTCCTGTCAATCAGGTTGTCTTTGTGTGTGGGTGTAGTACATATATTTTTGGCAGTTGTTTTATTTTGCTTCACATTGTAATATGTATTTTTATTTTTTAATGGATTGCAGGCCCGGTTTATGCTTGATACAATGTTGGCTCTGAAGAACAATGATATGCGCAAAATCCCCGGTTACGACCCTGAACCTGTGGAGAAACTGAGAAAACTACAACGCTCCTTGGTAAGATTTGTAAATCCCAGTGGAAAGTCCACAGGCAAAGGTCCTGGCAAAAAACATTTCAGTAATCCAACAAATCGTCATTTTCATAATAATCAAACTGAGAATTAGGTCCAGGATTAAGATTGAGTTTTCTATGACATTAATGGAGGGAGAACTGCATCTATGACATTGTTACCAAGCAAGAATAGCTTCTAGAAGTGGGACTAAAGATATCTGTTGTGTTTATATTACACTAGTAGCTTTATTAATGTGGCATGTTGGTTTTCTTAGGTACACAATAGTACTTCTGGCAGCGACACACGTCTTCGGGTCTCCCTGGACAATCTCTTGGAAGCTGAAAAAGTTGGACGTTGGTGGATTGTTGGATCTTCCTGGAGCGGGGCACCAATGATTGATTCTTCAATTTCTAAACCTCAGAATCCCACTGTTGGGAAGGTAAAATGGTCTCCTGACAGACTGTTGGAGCATTGAACATAAGATATAAGCTTGCGGATTAATCCTAGACTAGCGTGAAAGTTTATTAGCCTTATATAGATATAATTTAAATATATATATATTTTTTTTCTCTCTGTTATTCTATTTGTGAAGGTCAGTGCAAAAATAATGGATTTAGCACGAAAGCAGAGGATGAACACTGACATCAGGAGAAATATCTTCTGTGTTCTTATGACCAGTGAAGACTTTATGGACGCCTTTGAAAAATTAATCAAGTGAGTCAAAAGCCCAGAAAGCAAGTATTCTTGTCTGTAAGAGTTAAGTCTTGTAAATATCTCTGAAGCAGCCATGTCCACCCTTGACATCAGACGGTGTGTATTGTCATAGGTGTTGACCTGTCACTTGACTTGTTTCTAATAACGAGTAAAAGTAAAAATTGCTTCCTCTGGGCAGACGCACACATGTGGACATTTGCACTGAGGAAATAATTTTGTTTCAAAATATTTGTCGCTCACATAGACTCTGCAAATAAAATGGTATTTTTCAAACCCAACTGATCGTCTATGCAGGCCTTTTATTTTCTTTAAATTACTGTGGCGAGAGCAATGCATAATTTAAACTTTATTCCCTTTGAAGTGATATTTATTTTTGTTATGACCGGTACATTTCAAACCGTTCATTGTATATCTGTTGCAATCTTGAAATGGTCATTGAAATGGCGTCTGCGTCTAATTGCAACTCGGACTGTGAAGCCTCAATGTATTTTTATTTATTTTTTTGTCCCAGACTTGGTCTCAAGGATCACCAAGAGAGAGAGATTGTGCATGTCCTCATTGACTGCTGCCTGCAGGAGAAGGTGTACAATCCTTTCTACTCCTTTCTGTCAAGCAAGTTCTGCGAATACGACAGACGGTTTCAGGTAGTGTGATCAATAAAGTTTGTATTCTATCCATTAACCTTGCAAAGTCCAATGACTTCTAATCATGAAGTCTGTGTCTTTCAATAATCTGGTCTTTAAACACTCTGCTCTGACGTAGAATGACCTACTCGTTTATTGACAGATGATTTTATAGTGGCTTATGATTCATAAACCCAAAATATCTAGGAGATAGCCAGAGCTTATGCAATACTAGCTAAGTTGTTTATAATGGATTTAATTATCTGTACACTTTCACAGTTAAATATTATTAAAGGATTACTCCACGCACCATGACCACTTCACTGGTTTAAAGTGGTCATGGTGCTTTTCACTATGAAAAGCTGCACATACACAGTTTAACCCTCTGCTGCTGCATCAATGTGGCATCATTATTCAGCCCAGAACAAGCGTCCCAGGGGGCTAATATGTGCATATTGGACATCTGAAGTATGGCATGCTTTCGACAGGTGTCCAATGGCATCATGGCCGTGCCTCCCAAGTCCTCCCCTCAGCCATCTCTCTATCTCCCTCCCTGACATCTGAGGAGTAATGTCAGTAGAGGAGGGTCGGGCTGAGGGAGAACACTGCCTCAGTGCTGGGATGGCGGTGCGCTTTTAGCCATTTTTCTTTTTGGGGAGGGGAAGAGGGGGGGACCGGGACCAGGAAAAGAAGGATAACTGACCAACGACAGTGTTTTCTTGAATCACTGTTTTTTGGTAGGATTAACCCTTTAATAATCAATTTCTTATATCTGACATCTGTTATCTATAATTCACAGAAGAAACATAGCGATTCAACTTGCAGACAATAGCAGTCTTGGTTTTATATCAATTTATATATTTTATGCTAGCTGAACAGTAACCCTTTAGACTAAATATTGCATTCTATTAACCTAAACAGAAATGTATGGCTGGTTTAAAACTAATTACAAAAATAAACAAATGGACTTTTTAGTACAAACTCTTTTTTTTTTTTGACATAAACTCAGCCATTTTGATTATTGTTTTTATTATTTATTGTGCTAAGCACTGCTAATATTTCCTTAATTTATTGTTATTAAATATACTGTATTTTCAGATGACATTCCAGTTCAGCATGTGGGACAAATTTAGGGACTTGGAAAATCTCAAGTCCACAACTTTCACAAACCTTATTAATCTCCTGACCCACCTGATTAAGAGCAAGTCCCTCCCGCTGTTAATTTTTAAGGTAAATCATTGGCCATGGAATCTGTGGTTTAATGGTTAATTACTTTGTTTGCAAAACAGTGAAGTATTATTCTGCAGTCTTTGTAAAAAGAAATGTAATTGGTAATATGGAAATTTATCACAATGAGAAATTATAACTAGTGAGGTGATGACAGTCTCGAGATCCTGAATGGATTATTTAAAACAGTATAGTGTCGCCTACAATGACACTACACAGGTTTATAAGGTGCAATACTCGGTTAGACCAATGTATGCATCATGGGAATCACTGCGTTCCTTACGATTGGTTATTAGCAATGGTTTATAGGTAGACTAGAAAACAGACTTAACAGGATATTGATGAATTTAGGAATGCCATTCATATCTTTGCTTATAAAGGCATATTATTAAATTAGAAGTGTTGTAAAATCATAGTGATTTTCAAAGCAAATATGTGAATAAATCACTAATCTTTAGAGGGTACTGGTGAATGTAAGAATGTTGTGTATATATGAGTGATTTTTAGAGGATATTAAATATCTTTCCTTCACCTTTGGAAGGACATGAAATCAGACCTGGCCTGTAGGTTTAACAACTTGTTTATTGATCTTAAAGGGACACTGTTGGCATTTTCATCTGCTTCATCTCATTAACTAGTTATAATTAGAGATGTCGCGAACCGTTCGCGGCGAACTCCAGTCAGCTGACACATCCCTGCCAATCTCCGGCAGACCCTCCCTCCCAGAACCTCCCACCACCTGGACAGCATCCATGTTGAAGCTGCCTTCAACATGGATGCTGTCCAGGAAGTAGGAGGGTCTGGGAGGGAGGGTCTGCTGGAGATTGGCCGGGATGTGTCAGCTGACCAGAGTACGCCACGGACGGTTCGCGACATCTCTAGTTATAGTGTCTGGAGTCCCCTATTGCCATCCGGTCATTCAGCATTAAACCGTTTTAATACTGAATGAGAGTTCCCGGCAGCTACTTGGACTAATGAGGAAGTATTAGCCTGAGCAGTGGGAAGCTGTGATTGGCTGAGAGTGTCAGCCTACTGCTTTTAGCCTATCACAGTACCCATCGCTGGTATGACTGCAGGGAGGAGTGTAATTTCAGCCCTAGTCATACCTACAGTAGGGCTGAGCTGTGGATGGCCAGGGACCCTTGTTTAGTGTTAAACTGCTTATAAATGAGTTGAAGTGGGTATGGTGACTACATTGTCCCTTTTAAATAAAACTGATCAACAGATTTCAAAACAGAATGCCTCACTAGAGTATGGTTTTCATGGCAGTATATATATTTACATAATTACATAAGATATATTCGATACATTTCTTTGGCTATACATTTTTGCAAATTCAAGTTAAACACCCAAATTCCTAAACATAAGCTACACATTAGTATTTGTACGAAATAACAATCTATAATTTACAGGTCTGATGTTCTAAATAATGTAACTACAAAATTTCCTATCCCAGTTATCTTTAGACACACGTCACCTTAGGCTCTCTCTCCCCTGAATCATTACACTCATAAAGAGAACTAAAGAATAAAAATAAGGCCAAGTTTATCAAGTTACATAAATTATATGTAAAGCTATAATTTAATATAATAATATAAGGGAAGCCCACCTGCTTGCATGTAGGTGGGCTTCCCTTGAGACCTTTCCTTTCTAACAGAGGTACTTTTAGATATATATATATATAGCAGGATTTATACATCCAGCTTTTAATTATATCGTCCACAAGCTTATAGTACTCATTTTATTGAACCTCAGAAGGTTGAAAAGCTATCTCAGATAACAGTGCCTTGCAGAAAATGTTCCGTGGTTAAAGATAAAAAGAAAGCAAGGTCTGTGTTTGCGGTGATATAATTAGACGGTGTCCGTTTGAGTATGTGTGCATGTAACGGAACTCCCCGTACTCCGACCGAGTACCTTCCGTTGATGGACGCTTCCTAGCCTGCGCAGAGGACCACAAGCACCGCACTGGACACCACAACCACCGCAGACTCCACAACCGCCGTAGCCTAACTGGAGTCTCGCCATCTTCTGTCCACCCCGGATCGGCTTCTGTCCTCCAGGACCGTGTGGGGAAGACCTCTCCAGGAGAGCGTATCAGGAACAGCTCTTAAAAGAGCCAAGTGATTAAAGCTCAAGGGAGTATGCAGAGCATAGCAATCCCCAGTGTGATTATAGCAGTTCCCTCCAATAACGAGACGAGGCTACATTTTGAAGGGTAAAGAAGAACTGACTGGCACATACAGCCTCTTTTATTCGCATTCTACAAACATAGTACCGCCCACAGGGTTTTGAAGAACAACCAATCAACACATTACAACACAGCTAACACTCCCATTCATTACATCAGAAATCCTCCCCTCTGCCTGTGATACAATAGAGTAACTTAATTATCACAGGCAGGAAAATACAGTATTATAAAACATATCACAGGAAACCCAAAACATGCAATAACCCCATAAATATATCCTCGGAACCGGGGGATCTGGGTTCAGTAGTTTGGAAGATACAATTTAATGCAGATTCCACAGAACATATACAGGCTATATGAAAAATAATTACTGTTAAATGTGTCCCCTGTTCTGTAGTTTAAAACTACTGAACGATGTCTTTGTGCACCAAATACCGGCAAGATGGCACCGTGTAGACAAGTCAAAACAGTGTCTGTGAGTTAAAATGGCCGCCATCTATTGTTCTCACCATGTGCTTCATCCATTGTTCTCACCATGTGCCTCTGATACATGAAATGGTGGCCACCCAGTAACTCCACAGTTTGTCTGGTAGTCTATCCAGCCGAACCAACAGATGAAACACATGGGGAACAGTGCAACAAACGAAGGGAATCATTAAAAATATGGACAATAGTCATATTTGTGCACAATCTCCAGTTTTGTCACAGGGCACAAATAGTGTTTTCAAATGCCATATATCCCAGGGCCATAGTCAGAGGGTAAAACAACAAATAGTCTGAGTTCACACCTGCATTACGGTTTCCTTTTAAACTCTTATTTTCAAACGGTGTTCTATTCCATCTCCCTCCCTATACTATCACTACTCAATTGATAACTATATCTCCCATCCTGATCTTCTTCTGTTTTTGTTTTTCTTAAGGCTGGTATGATCATGTCAATTTATGTTCATTCTCTTAGACTCTTTGTTAATTGTTTGTTTGTTTAGCTAGTGTTACTACTCTCACTGATAATATAGTAAATTTATGTTCATGGTTTATGACTTTCACCTATCTGATCCTTCCTATCTTTTTATCCCAAATGTTCTCTCCTTTTAGTTTTTCATCTCTAATTAATTACCTCAATAGCCCCATGTCTCCCCACCCATAACAGTGTGTTTTATTTCATTTTTTTTTTCTAACCTCAGACCTTATATTTCAGACTGAGCCCCTTAAAACAGCATTAACACCCAGCACTCCCAAGCAACCAAGTCCTGCTGAATCTTCAGAGCAGAGGTATCATCTCTGGAAGATTGCCCACCCATCCCACCCCATGGTCATCAACTTATTTATAGATAGTGCACATCAGCAGGTTTCCATAACACACCAATCAAGTCATTAAACCACTCCTCACCTGAATTCATTTAACACACTGCATCCTTACAATGGTCTAAACACTTATTGATATTGTTATTGTGTGTTTGTATATATGATCTACATATCTATATAATACACATTTTCTCTAATGTTCTCCCTTCTATTTTTCACATTAACACTAACTTCTGTCATTACTAAAATATCCCTATCCTTTCACTCACCTGTCCCTGGCAACACCATCATCATTACTTCCACCTTACTCCCCTCCCCTCTCTATTCATCCCATGCACTCTACACATACCTTTCCAGCCTATCTTCTCCGACTCTCTCCAAATCCTCCACATACATACCCTCCTACAAAACTTTCAAATCCTACTCCCACCTTCACTTCCTTTCTATCCTTCTGCTCCTAGCAGCTGGTGATGTCTCTCCAAACCCCGGTCCCCTCTCAACAAACTCAGCACATACTAACCCAAGGATCCACACTAATCTCATACCCATCTCTTGTTCCTCTAAATCCTCCTTCAATACTGCCCTCTGGAACGCACGCTCTGTTTGCAATATAACTAAATCCACTGCTGTCCATGACTACTTCATCTCTCGTTCAATAGATTTACTAGCCTTAACAGAAACCTGGCTCTCCCCCTCTGACACTGCCACCCCTGCATCTTTGTCCTTCGGTGGTCTCCAACTTACCCACACCCCAAGAAACTCTGAATGTAAAGGTGGTGGTGTTGGGTTTCTCCTCTCCCCTCACTGCTCTTTTAAACCTCTTCCCACCCCCCCTTCCCTCTCTTTCCCATCATTTGAAATACACTCAATTCACCTTTTCAAACCCTTCACTGCTAACATTTCTGTTATTTACCGTCCCTATGGTTCCCCTCTTCTCTTCCTTGACCATTTTGCTGCCTGGCTACCCTATTTCCTCTCTTCTAACATCCCATCCCTAATTCTCGGGGACTTCAATATTCCTATAAACCCACCTTTGACCTCTGCAGCCAATAAACTACTTTCAATTACTTCCTCCCTCGGGCTATCACAGTGGGCAAATTCTCCCACCCATGTAGCTGGCAATACCCTTGACCTAATCTTCACTTATGCATGTACGGTATCTAATATCTGCAACACTCCTTATCCTCTCTCTGATCACCACCTCTTATTGTTTGCTCTCACGTACCCCCTCACCCAACAACCTCCGCCTAACCAGCCTCAACTCAGGAGGGACCTTAATTCTCTTGATCTCCAACAGTTGTCAGCTGACATTGATTCACAACTGCTGTCCATCCCTTCCCTATCCTGTCCTTCACTGGCCATCTCCATATATAACTCTACTCTTACATCTGCCTTGAACACTGCAGCGCCACTCCAAACAAGCACCTCAAGAAGGACCCGCCCCCAACCATGGCATACTAAATCAACGCGCTACCTGCAAAGATGCTCCCGGTGTGCTGAACGCTCCTGGAGGAAGTCTCGCACCCAGTCAGACTTTCTCCATTATAGATTCATACTGTGTTCATACAGTGCAGCCCTTGCCCTTGCCAAACAGTCCTATTTTTCCTCTCTCATTAGTTCATGTTCCCGCAACCCCAGGCGTCTCTTTGACACCTTTAATTCTCTTCTTCGCCCCGCTGTGGCCACCCCCCAAACCAACCTTACTGCTGATAACTTTGCATGTTACTTCACTGACAAAATTGAACAGCTAAGGAAAGAATTCTCCCCTCCTTGCCTTTCTGTTTCTCAATCACACATTGATCATGCCTTTCCTACCCTTCAGACATTCTCCCCAGCCACTGACCAAGAGGTGGCTGCTCTTCTTTGCTCCTCTCGCCCCACCACTTGCCCGCTCGATCCTGTCCCGTCTCACCTTATCAGATCTCTCTCCGCTTGTCTCGTGCCTTCTCTAACACACATCTTCAACTGCTCGCTCTCTTCTGGCATCGTCCCTGCTGACCTTAAACATGCCACTGTAGTACCTATACTAAAAAAACCATCCCTTGACCCATCCACCCCCTCTAACTACCGTCCCATATCCCTGCTCCCTTTTTCCTCAAAGCTTCTGGAAAGACTCGTCTTTACCCGTGTGTCTCATTTCCTCAATTCCAACTCTCTCCTTGACCCCCTTCAATCTGGCTTCCGCCCTCTCCACTCTACAGAGACTGCCCTTATCAAAGTTACTAACGACCTAATCGCAGCTAAATCCAAAGGCCACTACTCCATACTAATTCTTCTTGACCTCTCGGCGGCCTTTGACACCGTTGATCATGCTCTCCTTCTTCAAACTCTGCAATCGCTTGGTCTCTGTGACTCTGTCCTCTCGTGGTTTTCCTCTTATCTCTCCCAACGCTCATTCAGTGTCTCTTTTTCTAATGATACCTCCTCCCCTCGCCCTGTCTCGGTTGGAGTCCCCCAAGGCTCCGTCCTTGGTCCCCTTCTATTTTCTCTTTATACTGCCTCTCTTGGCAAACTTATTACCTCATTTGGTTTCCACTACCACCTGTACGCTGATGACACCCAGCTATATCTCTCCTCCCCGGACCTCTCCCCTGCTGTCCTGCAACGTGTCACTGCTTGCCTTTCTTCCATCTCTGACTGGATGTCCTCCCGCTTTCTGAAACTCAATCTCTCAAAAACTGAGCTCCTTGTCTTTCCTCCTCCTAATACTGATCCTCCTCTTCGCTCTCCCTTCAAGTTTGTGGTACCAACATCAGCCCATCCTTGCAAGCGCGCTGTCTTGGCGTCATACTTGACTCTGGTCTCACCTTTGAGCCTCACATCCAGCATGTTGCCAAATCCTGTAGATTCCATCTTAAAAACATAGCCCGCATCCGCCCCTTTCTTGCACCAGATACTACCAAGGAGCTTGTCCATGCTCTAATAATTTCACGCATGGATTATTGTAACCCTCTCCTGCTTGGTCTTCCCAAAAGCCGTACTGCACCCCTACAGTCTGTAATGAATGCTGCTGCTAGACTGATTTTCCTCTCTAGTCGGTTCTCTCACACCTCACCCCTCTGCCAGTCCTTACATTGGCTTCCTGTGTGCTATAGGAGTCAATTCAAGGCACTAACTCACACCTATAAAGCACTGAACAACTCTAGCCCCTCTTATATCTCCTCACTGATCCACAGGTATGTCCCTTCTCGGTCTCTCCGCTCTGCCCGTGACCACCTCCTGTCCGTTGTCCGCACCCGTACGGCCAACTCGCGCTTGCAGGACTTCTCGCGGGCGGCTCCCTTCCTATGGAATAGCCTGCCTACCGCCATCCGACTCTCCCCTAGTCTTGCATCTTTTAAGAAGTGCCTTAAAACCCATCTCTTTAGGAAAGCTTATGGCCTCCAAGACTAACCCCTACCTCACATACCCGTCTCTTGCCCTCTCCTAAAGGGCAGCCCACCTTATTTGATTGCACATTCCTGTCCTAATGTGTTTTACACCCCACCTCCTATAGAATGTAAGCTCGATTGAGCAGGGTCCTCTTCAACCTATTGTTCCTGTAAGTTTATTTGTAATTGTCCTATTTATAGTTAAATCCCCTTTCATAATATTGTAAAGTGCTACGGAATCTGTTGGCGCTATATAAATGGCAATAATAATAATAATATATATAACCCAGTTAACCATTATACTGGTTAACTGGGGTGTTTTTGTTACACGTTTTGTTACAGTGCACAATTACCATTATGCTTATTGTAGTAGATGGATTCAGTTACAATGTGATTTCCAATATTTTATATTTCAATCTGCAGGTCATAGAGTTCAGCGAGCTGGATAAAATCCGCGTGTCTTTCCTGCGTCAGGTTCTCTACAAGTTGCTGACAGATGCTGACGTGGAAGAGTTGGCTAAGATTTTTGGAAAGTAAGTTATTTGCAATTTATGCAGAGTTAGTTACAGTTAAGCACTTGTGCTGCCATCAAACTGCAATCTCCCATATGATTGCCTTGGAGTCCTGGGAGTTAAAGCTCATCAACAGGTGTAGAGGGCTGGTGGTTAATCAAATCTGAATTGGACTTCTCTGATCCTAGTGTATTGGTAAACAGCTTTTTAGCAGAAAAATAATGACCAGATTTTTTTAAGCACTTTCTCAAGAACAGCCCTTCATAGTAATTTTAAGAAAAAACTAATTTCTTGTGCAAAACAAACAAATTTCAATCGAAACTGGCTAACTGCTAATTTTGCAAAAAACACAAGTTTAGTTTTCCTTTCTGAAACATCCTGCTGGAGTAAGTAAAAATACACATTAAATTAACTTTTCATTATATGTTTATGCACCCGGTGACATCATGGGATTGTGGGATATTTGGCGAAATTCTTATAATTTTTATTTTGTTTCTTTTAAGAGAGCTACCAGCTCACTTTGTACTTTGTACTGAGTTTCAGGACAGACCGCTTTAAATAAATTTTGGTTTTCTATCCTTTGGCTTCCACCCCCCTCCACACACACACACTTTATATTTTTCCCTCCCAGATTTTCCTGTTATTTAAGCTCTATCCATATTATTTGTACATTTTACAATTCCGATGTCTCACGGTACAGTAAATGCCAGATGTAAAATAGGTGTGAACGCACCAGGACCAGCTCCATAGGGGGGTCTCACACAGTGGCAGGACTGCAGTTCTGTTTGTCCTTTTAAAGGAGCAGCAGGTGCCAGGCCCCATGCAGCAAACTGTTAAGCTGAGCCAGCTGGCATCTTGCCAGCTTGTCATAAAGTGTTTGTACTTGAGAAAATGTGTATGGAGCCAAGGGTGCCCGTAAAATGTTTGATTTTAAAAAAGGATTAGAGGACACTACCAGCTCAATATGTTCCTTTATTGGTGGTTTAATACTTGCTTTTTATTTATTTTTTTACCCACTTAGAGTGTCTGAAAATGCAAAGCTGGGGATGCTGCGTGAGGGGTTAAAATTGTTCATCACCCACTTCTTGCTGAAGAACATCCGGGCTCAGAGAAGTGCCGAAGAAGCCGAACTGCTCATTCAGAGAGCAGATTTAGCCGTCAAAGCTTTGCAGGCCAAAGAGCACAGATTGCGGCTATAAAGTACTGACCTGCGTACAGACTTTTCCTAGTGAACCTACACATCCTAGACCAGGCCGCAGACCTGCTCTCACAGAGGTTTTGTCAGTGTACAGTTCTTACACTGCAGTGAGGGATTCATAGTAGGGAATTAAAGGGATCTGCACCTTATACTCATGAGAAAAAAAAAGTTATTAAAAAGATAACGTGGATGGAGTCAGCAGAATATCCGTAATGCTTAGTCTTTTAAAATATGCGCTTGCAATTCCGACCGTGAAAACACTTACACGTTTTGTGTATGTATGTATTTTTTTTTTACAGTTTGAAAAAGTGGAATTTTAACCTGTGTCAGGTTAGGTGGTGTTCAGCGGTTTGTAGTGTGACTGCTCTCAAAATAAGAAAGCAAAAATCACCTGTATGTTTATCGCCCAAAAGGGTTTATACAATTCACATAAACAATCATTTCTAACTCCGTGTTCCAAAGCTATAAAAGAACATTTGATGTGAGCGATCCGTCTTGTTGACAGACTTACAGAACCTTTAATCATTGAGCCATTGGAGTCCCACAAATTACTGTCGTAATATTATTGCAGAACATTATCGCACAGCGATATTCCCATTAATGAAGCCAATATAACGGGGTTTATTCACTAAACCAGAAAATGTGAACGATTAACATTTTGAAAGGATAAATAAAACCTACCATACTGTCCGGGCCGACATTAAGGGTGTGAGACCTAGTCTGATTTGTTACTATTGTAGCGTGACGCGGTGCTATGCAGCCTCAAAACTTAAATCCTTTAGAGATCTCTGCCAGTCGCAGAGTTGCAAAGTGCATCCAGTGTATTACTTCATAGGTATTGTACCATGTCTGCTTTTATGATAGTATGGCTACTTCTATCATTACATTCAATTTTTTAATTTTTTTTAAATGAGAGCGAGCAAGTTACCCTTTCTAATACATAAGCTCACACATCTACAGTTTTTTTTTTTTTTTTTCACGTTTCCTTTTTCTTTGTTTGAAACTTTACTTTCTACCTGTTTTTGCTAAAACAGGTGATTGTATTGTTTACTGTCATGCAACGGTAACCAATGTAATGGCTGTACAGACCACTAGATGGTGTTGTCAATAAATAACATTGTGTCAGTAACATGAGGGGAGTATCTTTGTTTTATCAGATTTTTGTGTTGCATTGTTCTGCATTTTGGGGACGTTTCTCATATACTTGTTAAAATATAGGTATGGATGATTAGATTGTGAGCTTATTTGGGCAGGGCCCTCTTTACCTACAGTTCCAGTATGTCCATCATGTTCTGTTTGAATTAAAGGGTTAGTCAAACCCTTCAAACTTTTTTTAAAAAGTTAATATTAATATTTCCGTCCCCTCTCCTAAATAAAGGTTTTAATAAAAAGTCTAAAGGGACACTAGAGTCAATAAAACAATTTTAGCTTACTGAAGCAGTTTTGGTGTATAGATGAAAGGCATTATTTACTGCCTGGTAACACCTCTACTGGGAGTCACTCAGATGGCCACTAGAGGTGCTTCCTGGGTCAGCATTGCACAGTGTGCAGCACCTACATTCAGCTTCCTCATCCTCTGCATTAAGACACCTGAAGTTCCCTATAGAGATTCATTGATTTAATGCATCTCTATGAGGAGATGCTGATTGGCCAGCACAGTGTTTTGCTATGCATGCAGAAAAGCCTCCTAATGCTTTCCTATTGGAAAGCATTGGATTGGCTGAGGTTATCAAGACTGATGATATCAGCCATGGAGGCAGAGCCAGCCGTGGTGAGACCGGCACAGCGTGAAGCAAAGGTGAGAAGAATCGCCTTTCCCATGCAATTGAAGGGAAGTTGGAAACCTAAGTAGTTTAACACTATAATATCAGGAATACATGTTCCAGACGCTATAGTCTTCCTTAGATTTTTTTTTTTTGTATGACTGATTAGCCATGTTAGGTCAGACTTTACTGCTCTCTTACACAGAGCAATTGCAGTAGCAGCAAGATATAGGTTGAGCTATGCTGCTGCTGAAATTGCTCTGTGTATATCTGTAGCAGCAGTCAAATTGAGTTGAGCCACAGTTGGCCAGATAGTAGTAGATTTGACCCATCATGGCTACTTGGCTAAATAAACACTGAAATGTCATTGTTAAAAAACTAAAAACATTCTTTCATTAAATGTTGGTTTTTTTTGTTTTGTTTTTAACAATGACCAGTGAAAATTGTATGACACTTAGTTTTTTTTTGTTTTGGTTTTTTTGGTCACATGGATGTGAGCTTCACCATGTTAAAAAAAAAAAAAAGGTAAAAACAATTTTTATTTTAATTTCTATTTTTGTGCCTGCAGTGTGTTATATATTTAATAAAAAAAAAATTTTTTTTAAAGTGTCATCTAATATAAAACATACATAATGCAGAAACATGCATTTGGTGAAAATACCGCCCCTTCCAAGTTTACGGAGACCTCTACAAACCGTTTAGCTGTGGGGCTTGAGGGGGTTTTAAGTGTTATTATGGTTTTTGGATATAGCTATATCGACTATATGGGATTATTTCCAAATAGTATATGATGTACCATGATAAATCTATATATAAAATAAAGTTCTTGTCAAAGGTATTAAGAAGAGAACTTCACACATTCTCCATGACACTTTAGAGGTAACATGACAATAACTGTGAATGCATCTCCGTACGTCCCTTCTTCCGAATTTTATGGCAACAGGAATTAGGAAATTTAAGGTTAAAGACCCTTAAAGCACTTTATGTGTGGAGAATGTGTGCTCTTTTTAATTATTGTTTCCATTTTACAAAATGTGTACATTTTAATATAAAGTTTTATAAAATAACCTTCCTATGCATAGCCCATAAAACAGCTTTCAAAATCTTTTCGCTGTAGCCCTCCCCTTCTAAACCCGCCCAGATGTTCTGTGGCTGTCCAATCAGAGACTTCCCAATGTAGCTCAGTGAGAAGTCTTTGCAAGACAGTTGCTCTGGGCAATTACTGCCTTTTGAGTTTAGTTCCACTGAGTTAAACAACCAGGAAGTAACATGACCTGTTATCTGAGTGACAACCAGGGAGGTGTGACAAGGTTACTTAATAAAAGTGAAAATTTCTATTAAAATCTGCACTTTTAGTAAAATAAAGAAAAAGAAGACATACTCTTCACACACAAAACACTTTGGCAAGCTAAAATACTAGGGGTCTGGGGTGTCCCTTTAATTACTGCTGAGGAAAATAAAAACACATACCTCCACTTCTGCAAAAAATGTATTTATGTGCTGTGCATAGGAAATCACTGGAACTATGACATTTGCATGGAATGCCAGGTTGTGCCAGTCTGGGGCAGTAACAGTGCATTAGATTGACTTAAAGACTTGCAATTCACAGAGCTTTGGGGAACAGCTCTCGTGGGCTGAAACGCTCTATTTCTTGAAAGTGCATGCAGTGATGAAGTTTGGTGATTCCACACATAGCACTTGGCATAGTAGGAAAAAGGTCCTAAATCAGGACTGTTGTGTCAGATCAGAGACATTTGACAGGTATGCTGCTGTTACTGGACTGCAACTTAAATAATTCCTTGACAGTCTATGACTTTAAAATGTTTAACAGTTGTCTCAAGCTAACAAAGAACCAATTTTACCATCATTAGTCATTACTTAACTGTCAAGAAACTGTGCTATTTGCTTTAATTCTATAATTTCAGAGAAGTTTAGTGGACATATCCCAATGGCCATTCTCCCCCCCAATCTTTAAAATCATAAGCATATTTGATGATTTCACCATATGTCCTTTGTCATGATTTAATCCTCTTATTCCTCCCAATAAAGGTTACATTACTTCCTCATAGCATTTGCAGCTGTGTCTTATAAAAGACTCACCATATAAACAAAAAAACATCTTTGGGGAATTGTCTTCTCGCTCGGTGTATGTTGCAGTAGCGGGAATGTTGGCAATTCTGGCTATAGTGTTATGGAAAGCATTCCGTTATTAATTCGAAGGAATACTGGACGTGCGCATCTCAGATATACAGAAAAACCTCATAACAAATTAACTTTATAACCATGCTGGCGCATATACCTGCTCTAACTCGTAATGCTTAAAGGCTCGGTTAAAACCTAACTATGAAACCACTCAGACCAGACACACGGCTTACTTATAGGGCTTATTAGCTAAACAGTGATGTACGGGAAACGGAACTGAAAAAAAAAGGGCTAAAATGTCCAACTAAGCCAGCTATGTAATCATAGATCATGTAATTGTATTTTTTATTTAAAAAGTTATTGTTTAGTTAGTTAAACCCTAGATATTTTTTACATTTAGCAAAGTATTTTGTTACTAATTATCTGCAAAATCTAAAAAAAAAAAAAGGTTTAAAGGGACAAGCTCTACTTTAAGACAACTGTCTCATTGCCTTTGAGTTAGGCATTTAAATATATATATATATAAATATATATATTAAATTTACATGTTTCTTCCATTTGTTTTCCACACCTACCTTAGGGGCGGAGGGGAGACACTAATCCAGCCAATCAGTTTCCTATCCCTAGGTATAGTGGAACATCATATTGTTCATGCGTAACTCGCATGAAGATCTCACAACATCATCCATTGTTAAACTTGCTTTTTCTTTTCTGCATACAGAGAATAAGTTGGTCATCGTTTCTCTGCTCTATTGTTTCCAACACCCATGAATGTGCACGAGTGATGCATGTCCCTTTAACATTTAAGCAGGAGTAGACATCAGGTACATTTTCAGCAGGTGTAGAACTACATTTAACTTAAAGGACCACTCTAGGCACCCAGACCACTTCAGCTTAATGAAGTGGTCTGGGTGCCAGGTCCAGCTAGGGTTAACCCATTTTTTCATAAACATAGCAGTTTCAGAGAAACTGCTATGTTTATGAATGGGTTAAGCCTTCCCCCAAATCCTCTAGCGGCTGTCTCATTGACAGCCACTAGAGGCGCTTGCGTGCTTCTCACTGTGATTTTCACAGTGAGAGCACGCCAGCGTCCATAGGAAAGCATTATGAATGCTTTCCTATGTGACCGGCTGAATGCGCGCGCAGCTTTTGCCGCGCGTGCGCGTTCAGCCGAATGGGAGGAGAAGAGGAGGAGAGCTCTCCGCCCAGTGCTGGAAAAGGGTACGTTTTAACCCCTTTCCCCCTTCCAGAGCCGGGCGGGAGGGGGTCCCTGAGGGTGGGGGCACCCTCAGGGCACTATAGTGCCAGGAAAACGAGTATGTTTTCCTGGCACTATAGTGGTCCTTTAATGTTTTATCAACCACAGGGAGATAATATCCACAAGAGCTGTGGAGCTAATGATGTCTAGCCATAGTGGACAATGACATTTTTAGGTCCTTAGATTCCCTAAGCAGAGAGCTTTATAGAGCTTGACATTCGATGCATTTTTATCACATACAGACTGCAAAATATAATGTATTTATATATCAGTACAATTACATTGTATCAATGTGACATTAAGAATTTGTGAAATCAACATCAGTTGGGCTACAACATATTCTAGGTAGCTCATTCACTCATCATAGACGGTTTATGCAGGGGATTTGAAGCAGGGTTTCAATTTATGGGGTTTATGTGTGTAATATGGCTGTATAGTAACAAGATACAACTGAACTCCCACCTTGGTCTCATGCATACAAATAATACCTTCATCGTCAGCATCTTTGCTAATATGACTTCTCATGGAAAAAATATTCTCTGCTGTAGGAAGCATTCTCTTGGTTGACCTCATGTCCTTTGTACTGTCCTGTTAATGAACAGGATATGGGAGACCTACTTCTGTACTATGTCCAGTACCATACTTTTCTTAAGTATCCCCTACCTCAAGAAAGTAATTTCTAGAGAATTAAATTCCATATGAAACGTGTAGACTTGGATGTTTTTCAATCCCATATTAATCCTCTGGCGGACCGCCTGGCACCCTGACTGGGTGCCTCCGCCAATAGATGCTTCCTAATGCTCACCGAGTGCTCCAAGCACACCACAAGACACCATAACCAGCGCAGCCAGCATTACATCTTGGTTGGGGTCTAGCTGTCCTCCACCCACCCTGGACCCAACACCAGGATCCAGCTTCCAGTGGGTAGACCTCTCCCAATCCAGAGAGTAAAGCAGGATAGCTCTTACAAGTGCTAGCATTTATAATCCATGGGAGTATAATGAGTATAGCAATCCCCAGAGCGAATATAGCTGTTCCCGCCACACATGAGACGATGCTCTATGTTGAGGGTGAAGAGCAGGGCCGGACTGGGGAAAAAATTCGGCCCGGGCATTTTTAATTACAGCGGCCCACTGAAAAGGGGGAGGGGCCAGATAGGGTGTGTTTTGTCATCCCCAATGACAAGCACGCCCCATCTCAAAGTGAGCATGTTGGTTCAATGCTCTTCCAGGGCATGAGAAAAGGGCCCTGTATTTGATCTGCACAGCGCAAGCAAATTTAATAACATGCTTGCATTGTGTTTGCTTGAAACTTGTCTCGGGGGTTTCCATAATTGGAATACTCACTGTATCCCATTTATGGAGACACTATGTGTTTGCTTAAAGGGTATCTAGTGTGTTCATAGGGGATCCTGAGTGTGTATGTCAGAAATGTAGTGTGTGTGTAAGTGGTGCAGCATCTGTGTGTAGGGGATCTAGTGTGTGTTTGAAGGACTCAGGAGTGCGTATAGGAGATCTAGTGAGTGTGTGAGTGGTGCAGTGTGTTTGGGGGGTGCTGTGTGTGAGGGGTGTAGTGTGCATTTGTGAGGAGTATAGTGTGTGTGGGAGGGTGCTGTGTGTGGGGGGGGTGCAGTATGTGTGTGGGAGGGTGCAGTGTGTGGGGGTGCAGTATGTGTGTGTGAGGGTGCTGTGTGTGAGGGCGCTGTGTGTGAGGGCGCTGTGTGTGAGGGCACTGTGTGTTAGGGCACTGTGCGAGGGTTCTGTGTATTTGAGGGTGCTGTGTGAGTGAGGGTGATGTGTGTGTGAGGGTGATGTGTGTTGGGGTGCTGTGTGTGTGTTGGGTTGCTGTGTATGTGTTGGGTTGCTGTGTATGTGTTGGGTTGCTGTGTGTGTGTTGGGTTGCTGTGTACGTGTTGGGTTGCTGTGTAT